TCTGTTGCTGTTTGGGTTTTGTTTGGGTTGGGGGGGGGTGGTGTGGTTTTTCTTTTAATCAACAAATTTATCTCTTTCCTATAAAAGAAGAAATACAAGGACATCAAGGCAATACCTTGTTGTTGTGGTTTAACCCCAGCCAGTAACTGAGCCCCACTCAGCCGCTCACTGACTCCCCCCTGGTAGAATGGGGGAGAGAATCAGAAGGGTGAAAGTGAGAAAACTCGAGGGTAGAGAGAAAGACAGTTTAACAGATAAACCAAAAGCTGCGCACACAAGCAAGGCAAAACAAGGAATTCATTCACCACTCCCCATGGGCAGGCACGAGCTCAGCCATCTCCAGGAAAGCAGGGCTCCATCATTTGTAACCGTTACTTGGGAAGACAAATGCCATCACTCTGAATTTCATACAGTATGGGATATCCCTTGGGTCAGTTGGGGTCAGCTGTCCCAGCTGTGTCCCCTCCCAACTCCCTGTGCACCCCCAGCCTCCTCGCTGGTGGGGTGGGGTGAGGAGCAGAAAAGGCCTTGGCTCATTGCTGAGCAGGGCTTACACAAACTAAAACATCCCTCTCTTATCAACACTGTTTCCAGCACAAATTCAAAACATAGTCCTATACTGGCTACTGTGAGGAAAATTAAGTCTATCCCAGCAAAAACCAGCATAGTTGTTAAAGCAAGAGTACATAAATAAGGTTACTTTCTATCAATACAAATTATATTTAGACACCTTTTACTGTGTAAGTGTACCAAAACAGCAGACTACCTAACCATTTAGGAATATCACAATGAGCATGACCAAAGATAATTTCAGTCATATACCTAGGGTAATCCAAAGACTACCAAAGAATATCAAATTCTAAAGGAAAAAAAGTCTAAGAACACACGAAGTACTGAAATTTTATACTGAACTTATTTGATATCCAGCAAACAAAAGATTTCTCAGCCTTGTATTTCCTTGTACTTGTAGCCTACCCATGTCTACAACAACAGTAAGATTAAATATGCCACATAGTTAATAACATAACTACACTCACTCTAACTGATCACATTATATTTTCTTTCTTATTTACAGTCCTTTCCTATCCAACATGCTGATCATTTACAGCAAGTATTCTTCGCACAAAAATTGTAATGTCAGTTCTTCCCCTCCCTCTTTATTAATTGGTAAAGGCTGATTATTGCCTGCTTTTTAATCTGGAAATAAAAACATACACTATCACACCAAAACAAATTTAAACTCATTTTACCAGTTCCAACTCCAAGACAAAAAACACAAGGGAGCTTCAGTCAGGCAAACCCAAACTGGCAGACTGAGAGACACTTGAAGTTCAGAGAAGATCTACATACGGCAAGGCACTGAACTCTCTATTTCCTCTCCTTTAAGGGCAGAGGTACCCCAGAAGGAGCACCTACTGAGGTACATACAAAATAGTAGCAACGATAATGAAGTTCGCTGTCATACCAAGGTTCCTTGATAGTAGCATGACTACAAAACCAAAAAACCTTCATCCCTTCCAACAGTAAATTCCTAATCTCTACTTTCTACTTATAAATCACTCATGAGTCCCATTTATCAATTTTACCCTCTTCACACTTCCTTTTTCCTGATTTTCCTCTTTTGTGGCCCTCATCTCTATGTATTTCAGCTGTATCTTTCCTCAAATCAACTGAAATTCCCTGCCTGTCTTAATTGCTGGCAAACAGAATTCACTGTATTGTTAAGAAAACCTTGAATTGTTAACTAAAGAGAAGTACCATCTTTAAAACAGAACTGTAGTTTAAAAAAACATCTAAATACTTACTTAAAATGTTTTCAAAGGAACTTGATTTTTGTTCTTTATCTCAGAATAATCCCAGAGATGATGCTCCCTTGCTTTCTTACTTATACCAAACTGTAATAAATTTAACTACAACTTTTTGCATCACAGATGCCTTAAAAATTAAGATGCAAGAACGTGCATTAGAGAAGGAAAAAAATAATCACATAAAGTCCAAATGTTCACTACCCTTCTATAATCTAAAGCCTGTAACAAGAACTGCCATCAGAAAAACAAAATTCCATTCAGTTTCACAATGACAAGCTATTACAGAGGATCACTATATCACCAAACTACATTTAAATACACCAGAACCATTAAAGACAAAATACATGCTTTAATGCAATTATTCTGATGTCACATTACCTCCCTACAGCTTGAGCTATTTTCTATTGTTAACTTACAAATACCAGACTGCTGATAGGGTTTCTAAAAATGAAGTCTAGACAAGTTTTGCAGGTTTTTTTATATGGTCTTCATTAGTTTTAGTTAACTCAGAACATAGTCGTCCTGCTATAACAACTTCTCACAAGACAATCTTACCTTGAAGTTTTTGTTGAAAGAATGCTTTTTATCAACTTTAACAAAAGCAAATTTATCAAATTAATTCTAACCCCAAGTATCAAATTAATTCTAACCAAGTTATTTCTAAATTAATTTTGTAACTTAAGCAATTATGCTGTCATGACGTATAGTTACTCTGCTTACCCACTAACTTTTAAAAATTTCAAATTTGTTTGCATTTGTAAACATGATTATTCTTTTATTATAGTCTCTTTTTAAAAGATTTGTCCCACTCTAGAAAGGTATTTTATCTTCTGAAGCAAGTAGATACCATATGTAATGTTACAGTAGTTCTCATTCTATATTATAAAATCCATGTGTTTTTAACCATCAGCTTGAAAGTTATTGAATAGAACCATTATTTCTATTACATCTCTCTATTGTAAAAATGAAATAACATTTTTGTCTCACTTCACAACTTACTACAGAAATATATTATTCCTCCAGGGCT